GTAGATTGACTACAAGTGCTACCAAGTGCAGCGGGGCTGCCGTAGCTTTGCACTTAGAAGAAGCGTAAGTTAAGTCACCGACTTTTCGTTTTATACTTAAAATAAGTACGAGTTTAGCGAATCGCAATCCGCTTACTTCAAGAATACAGAGTAGTTACAACCCTTACCTAAGGCTAATTTACTCTTCTGTTTAAATTCTAAAACTGCCTTTATTTATTTATATCTGCGGCAGAGCCGCCTAATTTTAAATGCATAAATATGTATAGTAAAGTCTAAATACATGTATATTTACTCCCGTACCGCATTCTTGTCTGGCGCCCATCTGGTGTGACACACACCTGCTACTAAGGTATGTGTAACCCCATTACACGTTTCCCTTCACGCAATCATCTTGTTAAATTGCATGTGAAACGGCGCAGGGACCTGCCAATTATTACATTACGTAATGATTTTTGACGTAGGGACGAAGGAAGATGATTTACAGCCACAACTCATAACTTTGCAAATATACCTCGCTCTTGTTGATTCACCTTCGATACCAGAACAACTCGAGTTACTCTTCAAAATATTAATTCTAGTACCCTCGTGTGTGGCCTAGTTTTGATTCCCAATATAGTTGCAGACTGTGACATAACTCGCGCTTCTTCTCTCATTCTTCGGCTAATGCAGCATTTCACGGGCTCATTATTCTATGATCATGTGATATAGCTGTACTTTAAGCTTCAATTCGCGCAGATGAAGCTTAATATGCTTCCGTTATGTGTGTTCTACATTCTATACCTACTACAGACGCAGACCATGAATCTACTCGCTTTTCTATCTCGCGTTTCGGCCAATGTTTTCCACGATCACGTGAAATGGCTGCACTTTAAGCTTTGATCCGCCACATGCAGCTTAAGCTGCTAAAACTTAATCGCTTGCTTACTAGCCACGACATGGTTGCTTTTAAAATTGGTGTTACGCCAATTTTCTTCTGAAATCTGACTGAAGGCCCTAAGCACAGTCTCTTGACTTAAGGATATGATGTGTCCCACACCAGCATCTCGCTCCACCAATCTTTCACACGGCATTTTGGCTTTGATATTTCGTCACACAGCAGTATCATGTCGCACTTCTTTCACAAGCCGGAAAACGCGTTAAAGCGTGCACGCGAGCTACTAGCAATTCCGAATGTGGATGCCGGTGTACTTAAGCGTACTAAGCACTCCGCGCTTGAGATTTTGCACGATGCGCTGATAGCCAAAAAGAATCGCACATGGCAGCCCACACACGAGGAGCTCATGATTTTGTATCTGGAAATCTGTCTGGAACTGCAGATGGGTCGCGTGGCTAAGGACGGGCTGCATCAGTATCGCAATTTGTGCATTCAGCACAATCCTGCATCACTGGAAACTGTTATTAAACACTTTGTTACTCATGCAGAACGCAAGCTTGCCGCCGCTAAGAAGGAAAGCAACGAACTCAATATTTTAGCTGCCGCTAAGGTGGATTTGGATGCTGCCCAAACACCTGAGGATGTGATGCTATCAACCACAACGTTTGAAGGGTCTAGCGATCGTACTGACCGCGAGGTGGTTGTCCCTTGGCTTCGTTTTATGTGGGAGACATACCGCACAGTGCTGGACATCCTTAAGAGCAATACGAAACTTGAGCCATTGTACATGGTTACGGCCATACAAGCGTTTGACTTCTGCGTCGAATATCAGCGCAAAATCGAGTTTCGTCGTGTGTGCGAAATCATGCGCAACCATTTGAGCTCGCTACAGAAGCATACTGCCACACCTACAAGTCAGTCAACTCGGCAGATGCGAAGTTGGGACGGCTTCACACTGGATAGTGTTGAACGTCTTTTGGAAGTGCGCTACCGTCAGCTGCAGGTCGCCACTGACCTTGAGCTGTTCTCAGAGGCTTTCCGCACGATAGATGACATTAATAACATTATGAACCTGGTTGAGCAGACCCCGCGCGTGGATCTACTTGTTACGTATTATGAAAAGCTAGCACAGATATTTCAAGTGTCGAAAAACCATCTTTTTCATGCTCATGCGCTTTACAAGTGGTACTCGTTGCGTGTTGCGGGTCTGCAGGGCCTTGCCGGCCCTCAAGCCTTGCAGGGGTTTCCCGCGCTAGTCTCAGAGGAGGAACAAAAAGGAATGGCTACTCGCGTCGTGCTCGCTGCTCTGTCCATTCCACTTTTGGAGTTTGAATCCTCCTCGTCTGTTCTTGGAGATGAAGTATCCACTTCGGCGTCTCAAATTGCAGACAACTCGTTGTCCTCCGCCGCTCGTGACAAGAATGCCCGGATGGCGGCATTGTTGGGATTTGCGACTACGCCGACGCGTGGCACTTTGCTGGAAGACATTACGGCTGCTGGTATCCTAGTAAAGGCTTCTACCGCTGCCAGTGAAATCTTTCAGCGTGTAGAGCTTCAGGAGCTAGACCCTTTGCAGATCGTTAAGCAGCTGGGGCCATTTTTGACTACGATTCGCGCTGATCCACTTGCGAAGGCTTACATCAATGGAGTTGAGCGTCTTGTGGTGCGTCGCGTACTGTTCCAGCTTACTCGCGTGTATGCAAGCGTAACAATTGCTCACTTGCGCTCCATCTTTGTTGGTCTCGATGTATCGTATGAAGAGATTGAATCACTGATTGCCCGTTCGCGCAGTTTGAGTACAGTCGCACACGCCAGTGCCCCAAGCCTGTCCAGTATGTACCGCCGCAATGTGACACAACACGGCAGCAACAATGCTGAAAACTCCTCTGCTGATGCTGTGGCTTCAGCACAAATGCGCACAACAATTCGTATTGATCATGTGGGACAGTGCATTCGATTCACTGACGCAGTTGATTTGGAAGCGAATGCCGCTCAACTTTGTTTATTAGGTGAGCGTTTAACCAATGTCATGTCCAAAGTCCCTGCTACTGTTTCGGCTTCTATTGCTGCTCGTGATGAGCATACAAAAAAACTCTTTGCAGCTTCTCGCGGCCGTCTGCAGCAGCAGCGATCTGAGATGCTCGCACGCCGTGAGATCATTGAGCGCAAAAAAGAGGAGCTCGAGAATCTGCAGCACGAAAAATTGCAATCGTTCGAAAAAAAGCGCCACGAGTTTGCACAACGTCGCGCTGAGCTTGAGAGAGAGCGCCTGGCTCAAGAAGCCCGCCGCCGTGAGGTGGAAAAAAAGCTTAAAATCCAGGATGAGATTAAGCTGAAGGAGACTCGCCAGATGCTAGACAAGTTGGGTCACACGGATGTGAGTGATTTGGACCTCGCTACTATTGACAAGGATAAGATCCTTAACGAAGCTAAAGAAAAGGCGCGCAAGGCGAAAGAGCTTGCTCAACAAAAATTACGCGAAAATGCCCGACGTCTAGATTATATTGTACGTGCTACCCGTGAGGAAGAGCAACCTATTTTGCAGCGCCAAATTGCTGAAGTGAAGGCCGAGGCATTCAAGCGATATGAGGAAGAGTCGGCTTCGAAGCTCAAGATCGCAAAGGAGGAACACGAGCACAGCCTCAAGGCGAAAGCTCGGCTAGCCCCAGCAATTCAAGTGACTGCTGATTTTAACAAGGCTCATAAGGCTCGCCGTATCGAAGAGTACAAAAAGGCCTCTGAAGAGCAGAAAAAAAAGATTATGCTTGAGCGTCTCAGCGCCCGCGTTGCCCGCGCCAAAGAGCGATTCGAAGAAAATCAGCGTCTTCTCCGTCAGGAAGAAGAGGAAAAGGAACGCATTCGTCGCGCGGAGGAGGTTGAGCGCGAGCGCAAGCTCCAAATTCAAGTAGAGGAAGAGCTTCGCCGTCAGGAAGAGGAAGAGCTTCGCCGTCAGGAAGAGGAAGAGGCTGAAGAGAGCCGCCTTTCGAAAGAAAAAGAGCTAGAGATTTATACACAACGTGAACGCGAGAACGATGAAAAGCGTGTCGAGCAGCGTAGTCAGGGTCGCTTTGGTAGTGCTGGTGCTCGTGGTCTGTCTTCAAACCGCATAGACCGCCGAGGTGACGACACCGACGAGGGTGAGTGGACCCATGTAAACCGTAGTGCTCTCTCAAGTCGCGCTCGAGTTCAAGCACCCGAAGGTCGCTGGGAGCGACGTGGACCCCCGTCTCGCGATAGCTTTGGCGATCGTGACGGACATGAGGGTGGCGGCTCTCGCCGCGTCTTTAACGGTGATCGTGAAAGTAGTTTTCGTCTTGGGCTTGGGAGTGATCGCGAGGATGGCGGTTACCGCCGTACATCTGGTGGGGATCGTGGAGAGAGCGGTTCTCGTTTTGGATTTGGTAATAATTTAGAGATTGGTTCGCGTCGTACGTTTGGTGGAGATCGTGAAGACATCGCCCCGCGTCGTTCTTTGGGTGGGGACCGTGAAGAGAGCAGCTTGCGTCGTGCGTTTGGAGGCGATCGCGAAGTAAGTGATTCCCGTTTTGGTAATCGTCGAGGCGGGGATCGCGACGATGACCGCGATATATTCCGTCGAGGCAGCGATCGCAATAATGACCGCGAGTCTCATCACCGTTATGGTGAAGACCGCTTCTTTAGCCGCTCCAATCGTATGCCCCGCGTCGGCGATCGCGAGGGTTCGGCTCGTGAAACATCACGCGCCCCCGACTCTGGCAGCTGGAGATAGGTAACCCTCTGCTCCGAAATGCTTTGAAAAGAATGTATTTGCCTGATTTATTTCAACAAATTTGTTGAACCATAAACTAAATTATCGACTCGACAACAACCAAACTAGTGAATAAGCGTTTCTCAATTGAAAAGAATATATCTAGTGTCAGGTTAACGGTTAACTTCTCATTGAAAAGTTTAAAGATTATATTAACCTACATCCATTTGTCAAGGTTAGATGCTTTTGATATGCGTGATTTCAAATTTGCGGAATCGTAAAAAAGTGATTTTAGCTTACGGTATTAGCGATGAATTCCTCAGCTGTTTATACAACTATGGTGTTGTTGGCAAAGGACTTATTTACCAATAATTCTCTCACTTCAATGCTAGGATCGAACATTTTTTTTTCGCATCTCGCTAATGTGTCGAGCTCATACAATATTATAGCAGTGACATTCATAAACAAATTATAAATCTTGCTGATACTTAGCGCGCAACTGCACAAGACTTGGTATTACCACTATATACACCTTGTAATCCTGGTGATGCGATTGAATTCATTTAGAGTGAGTTTTGACTCAACTATGACTTCTGGCTTTGATTTGGAGCTGTCCATGTGTAGAGATTTTCTTCATGGCAAATTGGCTCTGGCTCATGTGTTTCAACTTATTTGACATTCATTGCGTTTGTATATTAGAATAAAATAAGTGTGTATTACAGCTCGATCTCGCAACAGTCGGCACTTACCATGATGCGCTGTCCATATTCGAATGGATGCTCACAACAGAGCAATTGATTGACCTGTAAACAAATGCGTCCTCGTCTAAATCATAGCCAATTGACTTCCACACTTTACTTGTCATAATTCATCTTCGTCGATGATCTTATCATCCAAGTTTGTAAGATCCATTGTATGTACATCCATCAAAAAGTATTACTGGCCTTTGAAAAGCTTAAAGAATTCATTTACTTTATTGTGCTGTCGATAGTACAGCCACAGGTTGCGATAGAAACATTTGTTAGAGCAAAAGGTCCACCATCACGATTTGCCCACGCGCTAGACGCTGGATCATAAGTATACGAGATAGTGCTAACTGGTATAATCGTGATAGATGTGTTGGATCCAGCTACTTGTTTAGTGATCCGGTTCCGATCCCAACTCTACCAGTCGAAGTTATTGTTGTAGTTCCAAAGTATGCGCTATTAGTCGAGGTTGCATTCGTTGCATTGATCAATTGCAATCCAAACCCAATGGGCGTTGCATTTGATTTCATGAAGATCGGCATATCATAATTAGCAAAAACATCGTTGAGCGCGTTACAAGCTTTGATATATATTACCAGAATTTGGTGTAAGATGAGCAGCTCCAAATAAATTAGTGAATGGCGTATTGGTGTTAAATATCCTTTTATTGGTAGTATCAGAAACAAGGTAAAGACAACCACTTGATGGTGAAGAAGACGATCCGGCGGGATTTATTCAAGAAGCATACGCTGAGGTAGCAAGAGTGTATGTCACTCTTGTATGGCTGTGTGTTGAAAACATTACAGCGGAATCTGTCTGTCTGAGATGTACCACCAACAGATGGTTTACGGCTCCAGCTGATAGTAAATAAATTAGCGCTTGTAGCTGAAACACTTTCTACTAATGAACTCGGATTATCGGTTGATATTAAATTAGCAGCAAATACGTTTTGTTGTTTGATCCGGATGTCATTCTCGATTCAATGACCAGTCCATTTTGTATCATATACTCGATAAATATTCATAGATTTCACGATTCGTAGTTTCACCATAATTTTTTTGGTGTCCGATGAACCTAAAGGCATCAATCCAACACCTGAACTATCAAGTGTCATTGTCCTAGAAGTTCCGGATATGACGCCAGTTAGAGCAGATATATCTAGCGCAGAGCCACCGATACTCAGAGTACGAGCATCCAAATTGTCAATCAAATTTACGGCAGAGAGCGTTCAAACTCCGCCAAGTCAAATATCTTCGACTACAGTAAGAAAGGAAATGATAATTGGAGGGATATACATTTTGATCACTATATAACAAAATGATAGACTTTCATGAATTCATAGACATGAAGAAGTTGAAATCATTCCCTACTTTAATTTTCCCTTAAAAATTGTTTTTGCGCCACCAAGCGGGTCCGGCAATGTTCAGCTTTGTGTGTAAGGAAAATATCAACATAAAAATCTCAATCTAATCGTTCGTGAATATGAAAAGGATCCGAATACAAAATGATCTAATAAGCATGCAACCGCTGAGCCCCTATCTGCGTTACTTATTGTAATGGTGAAACGAAAAATATATAAAAATGTTTATTAGGTTGTAGTCCTTCTTTAGCCTTGAATATTAAGTATATAGATAGAGCAATTGTACCATAATGACCGTAATCAAACACAAGCCTCAAGAAATTAGTTTTCTTTGCTTTGGCTAACTGCTCAAACTCGGCTCGAGATAGAAGAACTTTAACATATGTTTTGGTGAACACCTTTGCAACTTTACCTGGGATGAACATTAGCTCTTTAAATCTGATATACTTCTTCTCTTTCTCTGGCTTAGTTCGTCATCTGGCTTTGTAGCTTTGTTTTGCTCACTTATTTTCTTTCGAATCGCATTTTAATATCCGAATGCATCACAAAATCTGTTCTTGACCATTTTACACATGGCATTCAGTGTGAGTATGAGATTCTCTTTCTATCGTCAGTGCTCATTAGGAGCGCACTGATACTCGAGTTTTGAACCGTGAACGTCTTTTGAAAGAAGCATCGTCGTATTTGTTTGAATAATGATTGTTGGAAATGAACATATTTGAAGACCATTGGTGTCGCAACGCCGGCCTTGTAAAGCTTGATCGTTTGTCTGTGATTAAGTCGCCGTACATAGATTTTGTCCTTAACACTCGACGGATATTTCCTCACAGCAGGAGATCAATTTGCTATCAGCTCGTTGGAGTCGTTTGGTAATTTATTGGGGTTACATTCGTGTAGCACTAATTATCTACTTAAAATACCGCTAGGCGGACAACATACTTTTGCATGGGCTGAATCGCTCGCGAAGTGATCACAACGCGGAAAGAAGTTTCCTCGATTTATCAATGTAGTACTTGCGTCGTAGGAGACATTCCGCCTAGTAGAACCTATTAGCAAAAGTAAGTCAGCTCTGTTAAATTTGTATAGTTGGGCTTACACTGGTTTGGTCATGCAGTATCTTTAACAATAGCGAGAATATGTGTTGCGTAAGAGTCATCATCTTAGCTACTTTTTGAAAACGATAGTAGACTGTCGTTAGATATCTATTCACTCGACTGACGAGCAGTCAGGATTTAGGTTCAATACTTTTTGTGCCTGAGTGCGTTTCTGGTACGTTTTTTGTAATAATGTCCTGATTTAAAAGTACAGCATCGGTACACTCGATTTGTGCGAGTCATTCGTAAAGATACCGTGTGCAACGAGGAACGTCTAAGGTGAGCATGCACGTAACGACGGAGGGGGTAGCGACTCAAGCAGCGGCCAACGTGCTGCTAACGAGTTTGGCCGTCTACTTTCCACTCTTCATAGTGCTAATTCTACTGTACGAAACAGTGCGTCATCGTGTGCCGCACGTGTACGCGCCCAACAATCATGCGAATTATTCTGAAGCGAAGCAGAGTTTTTTTTTGGGATGGGTGCCTTTTCTGTGGCATATAGATGAAGTAAAAGTAGCTGAAAAGTGCGGTTTGGACGCTTGGGTACTGCTACGCTTTATGAGGATAGGTCGCAAGGTGGCGCTGCTATGCATCATGTGCTCATTCGCCCTCTTTCCCATGTACTTTTTCACAGCAGCAGCGATTAAGGAGCAGGAAATGCAGCGCCACCATCACAGCCAACTTCTTTCCGATCAAGGAGAAGAACCTAACGCTACTGCTGTAGCTGGCATCACATCCATGATAATGATGTTGCTAGATGAGCAAGTAGTGGTTGGAAATGGCTCAAGTAATCCGATGTATTTCAATGGAAAAGTGGAGCTTGATGTTGTGGACCGTTTGACAATTGCCAATGTAGGTAAAGACGACTGGAGGATTTTCTTTACGGTGATAGTCGCCTATGGAATCAGTATCTACGTTATGCGATTATTGCTTCGTGAATATACAATTTATCGCAAGCGTCGCCACGAGTTTCTGATGCGGAAACACCCTCAACAGTACAGCGTTGTCATCTCAGACCTTCCTGTGTCACAACGTCACCCAAAAACGTTGCAGGCATATCTGGACTTTTTGTTTCCAGACTCAGTGCATTCCGTTTACATTGGAGTCGATTGTGCAGAGCTGGAGAGACTTTTAGATAAGCGTCAAGACCTTGTTTACCAGATATATGCTGCAAAGCTCAAGTATAGCGCGAAAGTTTATGACCATGGTGTGACCAAGCGACCTAAAGAGCTGATTGGTCGTCGTTTTTTCGGACTCTGTGGTGAAGGAATAGAGGTAGATGCCATTGATCACTATACAGAAGAATTGCAGAGGCTCGAAATGGAAATCAAACGCACCCGAGATGAGATTTTGCAGCACCAGCCGGCACTGAGTACCCAAAGACTCTCCAATGACAAGCAGTATGGCTCGACAAGTGCCACGGCTACGCGAGGCTTTTCTACCTTAGGCAAACTGTCGGAAAAGCTTCGAAAAACAAAATTGCGTATGGAAGAAAGCCGATGGGGCGAAGAGGGTTTACCGTTGCTCCACCCTGGGGTGCCTATACCCAAGCGTCCCAACCTCACGCGGAGCTGTGCTTTTGTAAGTTTTCGCAGTATCCGATCTGCACAGGCTGCGCAGCAACTACTTCAGGTTGAAAATCCGCGTCGCATGGTCGTTCAGCCTGCACCTAATATTTGTGACGTCCAGTGGAAAAACTTTGGCCTGCCACACAAGGTAAAAGCAAAGTGGAAGCTCATTTCCGCTGGAGTTTCTCTTTTGATCGGATGCTTCTGGACCGTACCTACTGCTTTCGTTGCATCTATGTCGAGCGTTGATGAACTTCAGCATATTTTTCCGTGGCTAAATGGTATTCTTGAAAAATATCCCTGGATATTGATCGCACTTCAACAGACAGCACCATTGATCTATTCAGCGATGAACGGCCTGGCAAATGTAATCTTCAAGTTTTTGTCCACGCAAGAGGGCCACCTATCGATATCGGAAGTTGAAGCTAGTCGCTTTACCAAATTGTGTTTCTTTCAGGCCTTTCAAATGTTTTTTGTATCGGCACTCGCGGGGTCTTTCATAACAGAGTTCATGCTATTTTTGAACCAGCCGCGTATGATTTTCTTCTTTTTGGGCAACACCATCGCTAACCAATCTATGATGTTTATCACTTTTATCATTACGCAATTCTGTGTGGACATGTCGCTATTCTTACTGCGTATATCTCCAATCGTAAAATCTGCTGCTTACCACCTTCTGGCCCCAATGCATGTGAAGTTGCCAAAACCGCGAGATTGGATGGGACTTTGCCCCGTGAATTACCAGACCGACCTTGATACTCCCATGAACCTAGCCCAGCAGTATCTTGTCTTCTTGATTGTTGTGGTTTTTGCTCCCATCGCCCCACTTGTGGGATATTTTGGTGCTGTGTTCTTCGCGGTGTCTGAGCTTTCGTACAAGCGCTGTTTATTTTTTGTCAACAGCTCCCGTTGGGCAACAACCAACTCAATGGGTGTCTTTTGGCCACCACTGTATTCATTTGTTATCGGTGCACTCATCATCGGGCAGTGCACGCTCGTTGGAGTACTATCGCTTAAGTCTGCAGGGTTCGGACCAATTGGATTTACGGTAATGCTACCTCTGATCACTCTTATTTTTCATTGGTATGCTGTCGATCTATCTCATCTCAAGCGTGCAGCAGAGAATTTGCCACTTGACCAATGCTGCGACATTGATGAAGAGCGTAAGAATGAATCCTTTGATTTCTTGGATGGCGTTTACCAACAACCAGCCATGAAAGAGGCTTTCCAATCGCCTCCCATTTATGCTAGAGATCCTGAAGGCGTCGGTGAAGCTATTAATGATATCAACAAGGAAGCCGCAACATCCGCCGAGGATCCTCTCGAGAAAACATTGAAGCCATCCAATCCACGATTTTATCTATCAATTCTCAACCAGGACAAGAACAAAAGGGGCAAGAAGCTTGCATAATGCATATAATGTTAGATTCACAGTGATATGGATCGGAGTTTGTGGTTTTTGTCCTATGGGCATTCATTATTGTTACGAGTAGTGTTTGCCATACTCTTTTATATTATGTGGCGCAAGTAATATAGTCGATGATTATAAGGAATCAGTATTCTAATCAGTAAAAAAAGAATAGAAAAATTATCTGCGTAAACTTTGATTTTTCGAAATTGAAAAGCAAGAATCGTAGCTTCTCATGTGTCTCCTCCTCTGTTAACTAAAAGGCGACAAAGGTTTAGTCTTACATGAGACGACCAGAGAAACCTTCGAGTTTGAGTTGATGTAAGTAGATCGACTAGGAAATAATTATGTTCAATTGTACCTAGTGAATGTCGAGGTCAATGGTACCCATGTAACGGAGTTACACATATAACATGGTGTGTGTCACACGACATGGGCATGGTGTGACTACACCCAAATAAGAATACGGCAGTGGCTGGGTAGCCAGTAGTTATGCATGTATTTAGATTTTACTATATATTTGATAAAAAATCTATACATTTAAAATTAGGCGGCTTTGCCG